AGATGACATTTAATGTCACATTTATACCTGACTCTGGCTTTCTTTCTATGCCAAATTAATCCCCATATTAAAGCCTTTCGGTTATCAAACCTCAATATTTGATCACAGAACTTTCTAATCGATTCAAACTGAACAAAATTTTCTTCCCTTTCTACCAGTATCATCTGAATATTATATGATTTACTCGATGTTATGAATAAATTATTAGCCATTTTGTTATATTTCCTAAAGGATTGTGTCTGAATGTCAATCTTTGTTGTTTTTAACAATTGAGATGAGTCAAATACAATTAGTTGTTGATCTTCCACATTTTCTCCCAGTATGTATTCCCAATTAGGTTGTAAACATAATGTCTCTGTCTCTTTAAATTGCATGTCTTGATATATAAAAACCTGTTCAAGATTACTCAATTCCTCTTCTGTTATTCCTTGTTCCACAACTTGATTCATTATTGAAAAGTCAGAGTGAGGTTCCAGTATATAAGTATGTTCCACACTTAGTCTTAAATGGTAAAAAATCATCTTTAACACCTGTCTCCAAAGCTCCCAGCTTGATATACCAACAAGAAAATGTTAATCTCAGAAAGAAATTCTTTCTATGTTGAAATCAATCCAACAGAAAATTGTTTTATTTCATGATGAGACTAAAAATAATGCAAATGAAATAAAATAACAGTTTTCTAATCTAAACTTACAAATCCAGACAATGACTACAAAGAAGGAACTAGTAAGCCAAAAAACAGAAGGTAAATTAGAAGAAACGGATCCAAAGATGGAGGACCTAAAGAAAGGAACTAACAGACAGATACAGACAAATGAAAAATTAGAAGATGCAGTGGTAACACCGGAAATGGAAAAGATATCTTACTTGTCAAGATCTCAGAACACATTTGAGGATAAGGAGGAAGAGCTGATCGAACGGATGATAATGGAAGGGCTGCTACCCCTTCGCGATCAACGAGGGTCCCCTCCTTTTCCATCACCTCTCTGGGGTAATCTTTTAGGGTTCACAGTGGAGCAAAATCAAATGCGGAAGGCGGAGCCTCGTCTTCCTGCAGCCATCATGCCGCGATGCCTAACCGGAAGTCTCCAGAGGTATATGAGATTCTAATGGAATAGAAGCTTTGGAAATCTGGTAAAATATTAGATGCCAGAAAAGAGTAAAGTTCTTTTTCTTTGCTGCTTCAATAAGTTATTTCCTGCTGGTCTTTATATCTTTCTTCTTTGTAAAGGACTCTAAGTTGCTTGTATTGTTTTTTAGGGGTGAGAAGATGTTCAAAGGTCATTGCATTACTGTCTCCATCTCAGATTTATAAAGATAATTTATAAAGGCTTAGACACCACTTATTTGAGAATTTTGTGCCACAAGCCAATAAAAGTTGCAGCTTTTGTAGCTATTAGAGTTATGCATATAGGCAAACGTTCTTGAGTGAGATTGGGTGACATGACGGTCAATTGAGAGTTTTGTAGATTGTTCTCTGCCAATGACCTCTATCTTTTGCTTAAACTGAGAGGTCAATTTGGCACATCTTGGTTGACCTACTGGAGAAGTTGAAGGAGTGAAACAGGTCTCTAGGTACATCTGCTGAGTGGGAGGCTTCAAATTCAGGCAAAGTGAAAAATGATTGGTATCTAGATGAGGAAGTACTTTGAAATTGTCCACATAGAATAGAAAGTTCACTGTAATCAGCATGTTGTCTATTGTACTTGTTCTGATGCCTGGCACAAATGTAAGTTTATCTGGGTAATCTACGAAAGAACCATTTAGTATAAATAGATTAAGCCTGTTTACCATTCTTGCAAAGCAGAATCCATCATAATTTGATCTTTTATCTTTAGAGAGATGCCGAAAAGAGATGCAGGCTAAGCTGAAGTTCTAAGTTGGTGAGTACTGGTAGAGTTTAGTATAAAGTGTATGATTATCAGGGCCCATTGTAGCATTAAAGTCACACTCCAGTTGTACCATAGCATTTGGGTAATCCAAAGAAGATTGCCAACATACTCTTCCCACTTTCATACTATATTGATTGTAGTTTTTCTTTGCAATGGTGGAAAATAAATATTAACTAATATTAACAATGAGCTGGTACCAAACTGAGAAATAGGGTGATAGTCATTTGCTTTAAAACAGGGATGGTTGTAGCTACTACTGTTAAAGAGGTAGGAATGAAGATACCCAAATTGCCTTTTAGCCACTCTGGCCCCTGGCCTTGAGTTGCCTCAATTTTATATGAGTGATACCCATTAGGTAAAAGGTCATCAACTGTCCATGTTTCTTGTACCAGAAGAATATATGGTATATATTTGCCATACAGGAGGCAGAAAAATTGGAGCCTCTATTACCAGAAGCAAGATTCCATGTTAAAAATGTTAAAGTATAGGATCTTGTACTGGCCTGCATGCTGTCATGTCTTCTGCATTATGAGTTCTGACCTATCAATGCCCACTTTATGGACCTGATGAGTTCCACCAATAAGCATAGCTTCTGAAAATTCAGAATTCCGAGGATTAGAATGATCAGGAGACTGACTGCTCATCAGCCTGAGAAACTATAAAAAAATACTTTTGAAGATTCTTGTTGTTTCAGAGGATTGTTGGAGCATAAATTAAAAAGAGAGAAGTCTTACATTGTCAATGTCAAGCTCTGCATGGATTTTTGTGAATCTGAATTCTTCAAAGCAGCTGTCAGGGTGGAGTTAAATTGTTCCTCCTCAGAAGCACAATCATATTGTTTCTTAAGGTGAAATTTATTATCCTGAGTAGTTAATAGATCTAAATTTATTAGTGGTTTGGCTATTTTTAGGCTGTCATTAAGGATTCTCGCAGGTCGTCCAGTCTTGTAATGATGTCAGCCTGATGTGTTCTGACAAGGCACTGAAAGAGTTAATTAGACTTTCTTGTACTGGTTCATTAGACAGCTGTGTTACTGCAGTTGGATAGGTTGTTTATTTAAACCTTTCCGTTGCAGAGGCTCTGTTGATAAGGTGTCCTTGAAGTTGTCTGAGTGTGTGCTAAAGTGACAGTACCTTTATGGCTGCACTGAATTAAAAATGGACTGACTTGCTCAGAATGGAAAGCATGAGTTGGGAAGGTTTCATTTTAAAGATCATGCTGCGGACTACAGACTGTTAAGGACTTGACTGTAACTGCCTCTAAGAGGAAGCCATTCTACCTTTCGTAAGTCTGTCAGTTATGTTTCACAATGTAGTGGCTGGCTTAAGGATTTGGTGATGGCTTTTTTAGACCCACATCTGCCTATGTTTACTCTATTGCTTAGGATTTGCAGACTTACCTTACTAGTTTGTAGGATACATTTGCCTTTTACAAACTTCTTGTTTACTTATCCCTTTTGTTTGTTGCTATCACTTTGCCTTAGAAGGCTGAATTCGGGGGTGAATTGTTTCCTTGTCCTCTGCCACGGTTTGCAGGGCACAATTTAGACACAAACCTTTTGCTTTGGTAGAGCAAGCTATTTTATTTGATTGACTCTCAATTTTCCAAAGGATTATTTTACAAAATCTACTTTATTTTTAACATATAGTCAGTAAGAGGAAGACTGAAAGCACAGTCCTCATATCCTTCCTGTGGCAGAGCAAACAGCAACAGCCTGTGGGGGGGAAGGGAGCATTCTCTATCCGAGAGGAGGAAAGCTTTAAAAGTTGCTGACTCTCGGATCTCAGCCTGTAAATCCCCACACTAAGGGGTCATATCTATTGGATAGATGAAGAGAGGGGGCATTACCTGCTGTCAACTTTCTGTTGTTTCAGAGGTTTAGACGAGGAATGTATTGTAGAAGATATCTGCTATCTTTTCCCAAGACCACAGTGCAAATGCACTTTCTGTAAAGGCTAATTCAATAATAGCAATATTTTTTAAGTAAAATTATAAAAGATAGTTAAGAGAAATTAAATAATCTGAAAATAAGCCGTGAATTAAGATGCAGGTTAAATGAAAGGTTTTTAGAAGGAGCTCCTTATAAGGATTGTAGCCCTGTTGCCATCTTAGGTCCTCCCCTACTTTTAATTTTTTGATCTTTTTTACCATGGTTGTTATAGTGTAGTGGGCTTCAGTAGGCAAGGAGCAGACCAGCATAGTTACTACATCATTTAATGACTCGAACTGGAACTGCAGGCAATTTCCTGTAATTTATATTCTGAGCCCCACAGGGCCTTAACCAATCCCAAAACTTGGAAAGCCCGCCCGAATATATATGTTCAAAGTTTCCCTCCAAAACAGTTGGAGTTAACAGTCAGTTTCACTTTACAAGGCTTAACACTACTTTCTATATTTCAATACATAACAGTTAAGCAAAAAACTGCAGTCATTAAGCGAATCATGCTATAGTTAAGTGAATCTGGCTTCTATTGACTTTGCTTGTCAGAAGTCGCTGGGAGGGTTGCAAATAGTGATCACATAATCCCAGGATGCCGTAATGGTGGTGAATACGTGCCAGTTGACAAGTACCCAAATTCTGATCACATGACCGTGGGGGATGCTGCAACAACCATAAGTGCAAGGACCAGTCGTAAATCACTTTTTTTAGTGCCATTATAACTTCAGCTGAACAAATGATGCAAATTGAGGACTACCTGTATCTAGGAATTCTGATTCCAAATACAGGTAATCCTTGACTTACAACCCTCATGGAAACCGCCCATGATGGTTATAAGGGGCAGGGGTCCCCATCCTCCGGTCTGTGGCCTGTTGGGAACTGGGCTATGCAAGTGGCAGACATATGTGCAAAACCAACCCTTCCACCCCCCACCACTGCTGCCAGTCAGCAGAGCCAGAAAGTTTGGGGACTACTGATAAATGGGGTCACCTATCTGGTTATCCCGATTTTATGACCTTTTTTGTGGATTTTGTTAAGTGCATGCTGCGGTCATAAAGCAACTACAATGATCATTAAGTGAACCAACTGTTTGCTATCGGCTAGTTTTGCTGAAATCTGGAAGTGAATGCCAGTTTTGGCAAAAACATAAAATGCAGTCATGTAACTGTGATATGCTGCAAACAATTGTAAATGTGAGCTGATTGCTGAGTGCCCCCAAAGTGGTCATCTGACCATGGGTGGTGGCCATTGGAACTTCAGAACCTGGTCATAAGTACCCCTGAGAAGGTCTGTTACAACTTTGACCAGTTGCTAAGTGACCGGTCATAAGTTGAGGACTACTGTATTGGACCAAATAAAAGACAAAACTGATTATCATACACCCTGCATCAGCTCACAGGAACTAATAAAAGAAGATAGAGTTGATCAATATTTCAAAATATTACAAGAAAATATAAAATCTGTTACTGTGTTTCCTCCAAAATAAAACCCGGCCTTTTTTTTTTTTTTTGCCTTCAAAAGAGGCACCAGGTCCTATTTTCGGGGTGTGTTTTCCATGGTCTTACCTGGTGGCGGCTGCACCGATAGCGCCGCCCAGCCGGTCCACTTCTGTGTCCGGTTGCCGCCGCTTGTGTGCGTCACCCCCGGCCTCCACTTCACCATCAGAGGCCTTCAGGAAATGCCTCTGCAGCTGAGAATCGAGCTCCGGATTGACATGCGTGGCGCCCCCTCTGGCCTCCCTTTCGCCATCAGAGGCCTTCCAGAAAGGCCTCTGATGGTGAAATGGAGGCCGGGGGCGACCCGCACGAGTGGTGGCGAGCGGTTGCAGAAGACATGGGCCAGTGAGGCAGGTGTCGATTCATGGGAGGCCTGGTTGCAGGGCATGTGGAGCAGCTCTACCCCCACCCCAGCTTGATTTTTAGGTGTGCACCTCACCCCGAAACTAGGACTTATTTTTGAGGTAGGGCTTATATTAGGCCCACCCCTAAAAGTCAAGCTAGAGCTTATTTTTGGGGTAGGTCTTACACAATATTACAGGGCAAATGAATGTTGTTTTAATTTTTTCCTCTGACTTTAAATAATATGTTTATACTTTCTAGATAGCATTATTAAAATGTTTTCCTTTGTTGCTAAATAAACTATAGTTGTAGCCTTCCTCAAAGTATGGATACTAGTCTCAAGAACATAAAACTGATAATCCTTTAATTTTTATAATTGTATGACATTAAATTTTGGTGTTTTTTTAATATATTTTATTAATTTTTTACAATAACAATATTTAGTGCTTAGTAAACAGTGTGTTGTATGGGTTCATATATTTGAAAAACAATAATTTCTATAATTCCATAATCAATCTATTAATTGATGATATATTTCTTTGATCTTCTCTTCTTCCAATAGTATTCCCCTTTTATCAACATTAAGCAAATATAGTTCTTAATACTTTCAATATATACACAGTTGAATATAAATATTTTTCTTGTGTTTGTTCAAATAACAGTAACATCAGCATACAACATCTTTTCTGATCCGCTTATGTTTCAATTATATTCATAAAAGTCATTGTATTAAGTCACTTTATATCCTTTTTTCAAGATTCCTATTTAAGCTTAATTTCCCCTCTATATTCAAACCATTCTTATCAGTCATAATTTTTTCAATGTTAATTACCTTTAAATATCCAAACTTTTCATTCACATACACCATTCCAATATTTTTATATTTCATATATTATAAAGAATACTACTTACATATCTTATCCCTCGTACTGTAGGGCCCCTTTAAATCCATGATTTATCTATTCTTTTAACCATATTAAAACAAGTGTTTAATCATATAGTACTCCATCTGGTAGGTCGAATCAAATTTCTTGAATCTAACTCTAGCCTTCTTCTTTTGCGAAATAGTTTTCCAAGTCAATGTATTCAGCTTGCTAGGAAATTATTCCTGTATTTTTGTGAATGTTGTTGGGAATAGAAAAGACAAGTTAGGTATAATGTGCATTTTTTGTCTCCCAAACTCTAATAATTCTCCTGGGTGCTCTATAATTCATTTTGTTAGATCTTCTTTCCTATCTTCAAGTTTATTTTGAAGGTCTGAAAAATAAGATATCTTTTCCATTTCCATTGTTGTGGGAAAATCTTGCAAGTTTTCTTTTGTTTGTATTAGACTGTAGTTCTCTTCATTTGTAGCCTCCCTCTTTGGGTCCCTGTCCTCTAGTGTATATTCTGTTATCTGGTTTATTTATTCTTTGTTGTCATTTTCTGAGAATTTTTTAGTTACAGATTTAAGTTAAAAATGTGTTCATTTATGTCATCAGAGTTGTTTTTAATCTCATCGTGATTTGAAACCATTGTCATTTGAATCTCAGCATTGCATACATTTCCTCCTGGAAAATATTTGCCTTGTCTTGAAGTATTGCTCCTACAGATCTTTGATGTTCCAGGTTAGGGCTTTCAGAAGGATATATTAGGTGTGGTTTCCTGCCACTTTTTAATAGGTATGTAACATCCATTTTGTTTCCTCCCTCCAGATAGTCTTTCACTGGTACCATAGTCTCTGTAATTAGCCTTGTCAAACCAGCCAATCTTAAAGTCCAAACAACCAAATCTTATATAGTTCTTATCTTTATATATGGTTTTTATAATCCAATGTGTTTCCAATTATCAAAGCACCATTAAAAGCAGTATTTTATAATAGTTCTTCCATTCAGGGGTCTTACAATTATCAGCCAGTCAGATTTAGAGTCCAGAATGTTTAACCACCTAGGAGCTTTCCAATAAATTCCCCCCTAGAAGATTAGCCAAAAGTCAAGGTTTTTCTTTCTCTGAAAACAATTCTTGAGCTTAGAAATCACAACTTAGTTAAGTATTTATAATCCCAGAAGGTCAGCAGTTTTTAAAACAAATATAGTTCTCACTCTGTAGTGGGTAGCCCAGTGTGTTTTCTTTCTCTGTTCCCAGCTGTTCTCTATTTGGTGAAAAGCCACTGAGGTTCAAAGGAACAAGTTGTTCTTTACTTCTGGGCATCTTGCCAATTTCTGAGTCAATGCAGCTGTTGTTCTATGTTCTAATCCTCCACTAGATGTCAGTAGCCATTCAACTTTTAAAACAAAAAGTTATTTTTTGTAATTTCATTAATGCTCTTTCAGATGTAAAGTCTTAACAGTTTTCATGATTTTCAGATTTATCCAGACTATAGTATTATTAAGTTCATTTCAATTTATTTCTGTCCCCCATAAAAATTAAGTCGCTACTTCTGTCTATGGAAGGGTGGGGATGTGGTCCCCTCCGTTCTCACTTTTGGAGGATTTTTTGCTTCTTGAGGATCTTTTCCAGGAAATCAG